TAAAGTGAATTGACTGTATATTTGTGGGCGAACGCGGCAGCCAATTGCGCACAGCAATGTCCCACAAACAGTCGTGGATTGAAAATGACCAATTTATTATTGTTTTTGGTTTTGGAGGATTATTATTAGGCTCTGTGTGGAGTAAGGAAACTTGCCCAAGGTTGTAGCCTGTGTCCTCTCCCGCAACAGCTCCGTGAGCATATCACCCCCATCCTCATTGGCTCCACTGACCCTCAGTTTCCGAGCAGATCAAATTCAAGACCCTACACTCTGGAACTCCATCCCATGGTCCCTTCGCATCGCTTCCTCCCTTGCCTCCTTCAAGGCCGGTCTCAAGACCCTTCTCTTCGACCGCGCCTTTGGTCGCCCTCCCACCTCTCCGCCTTCCCTCACCCCTACGCCACCTTTCCCCCATGCTCGGGCCCCGACACCTGACTGTTCAGCGCTTTGGGACGTCCTCCCGCCGTGAAAGGCGCTCTGCAAATGCAATTTTGTTGTTGTTGTACTACATAAATATAAATTGTTGTTGAGTTTCAATTTAATCCAATTTAACTTAAGCATTTAAGAACCGTCCAAATTCTGGCTGCTCTAAAACGGTGCGTAAGCAAAATAAACCGAGACCCGAGTGAAATTTCTCGTCTTTGAAGTTCAGGCGGAACAAGAGTGGAAAGTTTAATGAACCTCCTCGACAGAAAGTCACTGGAAGTTGCACATCTGAGCCACAAGAGGCCAGTAAATCACAACAGAGTTCTTGTGATCAGTCCTGTGAATGTAAGGAGCCTGTATAATTAATATTGATAATAATATTAATAATCGTTGCATTTGATAAAGCGCCTTATCACATCATTGAGACGTCTCGAAGCGCTTCACAGGATATATATTGTAAAGTGAATTGACGGTGCATTTTGTGGGCAAAACGCGGCAGCCAATTGCACGCAGCAGTGCCCCACAAACTTGTGGATTGAGTGACTAAATCGTTTGTAGGATAACTATCAAGGGACAGCCACATACACCTCACAAGGCAATCCACTACTGTCATGTTGTAACCTCTTTACTAATTCTACGACTCATTGAAAATGAAAATGAAGGAAAGGGGAATGAGTGGAAATAAGCAGATTAACCAATTGCACTGTGAGACGTCTCGAAGACGTGATAAGGCACCACATCAAATGCAAGGATTGCTGTCAATTGGAATCATGAGTAAACCAGTGCCTCAAAAATGATATGACTATTTTACTCAAGTCTCTATTTTTTTTTGAAGGTTTTGGCTCTCGTTCTGGGGGACAGTTCCAAACCCATCGATTATCATCCGGTCTCTCTGCCTAAGTGGTTTCTCTCTGTGGATGAATCCAGCCGGAGTATTGGCAGGCTAATTGGCAAGGGAGCGGGCTTTTTCTCAGGGGGCGATTAGACAGTGAAAGAGACCTGTCTGATGATTCTACCCTCCCTAATCCAGATGTGGTTTAGTAAATTCCCAACTGTGAAAAACTGACTCATTCTTAGCATGAACCGGATTATTTATTGAACGCATGCAGTTAGCTGCAGATTCACACGGTGTTATTCTTGCTTTTCGTCATAAAACATCCATATGTGCTGTGCGCGGTGGGTGGGGGGTGGAAGGGAGGAGAGGGTTCTTATGCTATTGACATCAATTGAAAGGTGGAATGAGCTCTCGATTACTCACTCGGCCTCCCGTGCCTGTCAGCCCCAACACTGGAAAGAACCATTAACGTCAGGAAGAATTAGCCTAGTTTAATCAAACATGTTTAACCACACGGGCCCCCACATCCTTTCCCCTCCCCTCTCACCCCTGGGGCAAACATGCACCCAACCCGACAGCTTTTCACTAGTACTTGGCTTGCGGTTCCACCTCCCTCACTCCCTCTCTCCCTGGGACGTGGGATTCTCAGTAGCGCGGTTTGGAGACTTACAAGATTGTTGACCAGGACACTGCCAGCATTCCGGACTGGCCGAGTCCCTTTCTCCTTTGCGAATAATACCGCAGGATTTCACGTGAATAGGCTGACGAGCACTCGCTTATACACCTCACGTAAATGTTGCTGCCTCCAATACCATAGTGAGGTGCAATCCTCTCCAGCTGCCAACCTAGCCACAGCGATGCACTGTCAAACACACACGCGCGCACAAACAAATAAACTCTCTCTCCTAACAAAAAACCCCATCAGAGCTGTAATATTGAACCAGATTCAGGATCAATTCTAGTGCACTAGCCCTCAAGCAGAATTATCACTGAGGGGGAGAGAGAGAGAGAAAGATAGCAGTTAATGTTGTCAGTGTGCTTTTACCATGCACTTGCTGGCGAGGAATGAATACAGTAGACAGCTGCCAGGGCACAATTCCCCAACCAAACACAGACGAACAGGTGAAGGAACCACGGCAGGTGAGCTTGCGGTGAGTGGCCTGAATTTCCCCTCAACTTGTTTTTTGTTTGAAACAGCAACACCTGATGGAATCTCTGTACGATACTCGAAGACAGTACTGAGGCCCCGGGACAGATGGGACTTGAAGCTTATTAGGAGAGGAGGAAGAAGTGAAAGGTGTGGGAAGGATTAAAGGGGCTGGAATTTTGCTCCTTTATTCGGAAACGCTGGTCGGGTCACAGTAATAATAATAATAATAAGCCTTGCATTTGCTATAGCACTTTACCACATGGTTGAAACGTCTCAAAGCACTTCACGGGATATACTCTAAAGTGAATGGACTGTGTATTATATACTCAACTCCACCCTCACCATTATCCCCACGCCCAAGGTATTTATAAATTACACCACCTGGCCTTTCACAACGGCTGTTTGAGAAATTCTGACCTTTGATGTGGTTTTAGCATCTGTAACCCTTCAACAATCGGTCTGTTTGGTTGCTGGGTAACTTGATCTCCATAACCAAATAATCCCCAGTGGGCATACTCCATCGTTCTATCGACAGCAAAATCTGGTAATTATCTGACCACGGAGAGTGCCCACAACAGCATGTAATGTGACCAATACAACAGGGCTGTGTGGTGTTCATAACCTGCACACACAAGCTACTACTGTCCTGCTAACATTGGGGACCTGTTAAGCATGGCTCAGGGTTTCTAACCCTTTTTATATTGTTTATCCCTCCAAAACAAAATGTGGTCTCTCAATTTCATCACTTTTTTGTGGGATGCTGCTGTGCGCAATTGGCTGCCTGCGTTTTGCCCACAAAATACAGTCAATCCACTTTACAGTATATTCTGTGAAGCGCTTTGAGACATTTCAATGAAGTGATAAAGCTCAGTATCGAATGCAAGAATTATTATAATTAATGTTCCTTTCGGGAAGGAGCTAACCAGTTAGGTTACCAAAACAGACAGAGTAGAGTGTGCGTTCAGCCTGCGGTTGGATTGGGTAGGGGTGCACTGCAAACACAACTTAGTGTCCTGCAGATCGACTGACTGTGGACTCCAGCAAAGACGCAAGAACAATCATTGCGCTGAGCCGGCTGATCTCAGTGCTGCAAGAGTGCACTACAAATGGTCTATAGTGTTTGAAGCTCACACAGAGAGAAAGAGAGATCTCAGGTTCTGTGGGAAGGAACACAGCAAAAATAGTTGCTAAAAGGCCTTGGGGGCTAAAAACACCTCGAGTTTGGGCTCTGGATTCTCATGACTACTCCTCTCCTCATCTGAGCTGGTTAGAGAGTTCCTCAGGGCACAGATAATCAGAATCCTCAAAACAAATAATCTTAAGTACAGTTTCACTGTGAACGTCAAACCTGTCGTCTTGCCAACTGTTGAAAGTGGTATACGAGGGCCATCTATTTCAATCAAACTCACTCGGAATCACAGTCAACATAGGGAGGGATAGAATGAAGAGAGGCTTGATTCATCCCTGTTGCCTCCAGAGTGCGCTACAAATGGTCCGCGCATTCCAGAGCAAGATAGATCTATCTGCTCTACTTCCTATCCAGTCTCCAGCTCCTTTCTTGGCCCTTAATTTCCTAAGAAAGAGAAAGCATGGAAAGACTGCTAGTCCAATCAAACCCACTGCTTGCATAAGCCATGTCTAGTCTTATAATAACAATAATAATCCTTGCATTTGACATTGCGCTTCACAGAATATTCTGTAAAGTGGATTGACGGTATATTTTGTAGGTGAAATGCAGCAGCCAATTGCACACAGCAACATCCCACAAACAGTTGTAGATTAAGTGACCAAATTATTTATTTATTCGTTTATTTTTTGGAGGGATTATTACGCCCAGAAAGCAATCCGCCAATCGACTAACATCCAGTTTCCTATTTATTACTAGGTAAGCAGAGTCTAACCTGCAAATGGATTCTACTCTCAACCACTCATTTCCCCAAGGAAGGGCCCACAGAAATACTTTGACAGACATCAAACTAAACCACAGGGGGGAAGAGAGATCCAGGATATCAAGAGGAGAGGAAATGGATGAAAATGTAAATCTAATGCTTCCATTTCAATCAGTCACATGAACAGAAACACACTGGAGGCTCAAGTGAGAAAGAGATCTCACCAAAGAGTGGACACAGTAATAAAATCATTTAAACCATTGTTCAATAAAACACCAGTGTATATATATATATAATATAAACAGAACCTGAGTAACACCCAAAGACTATCAAGATCCTAACAAGTCTGGGAATTCAATAAGCAAGCGATGGCCAAACAAAGCCTAAGGGATTATCACTTGCTACTTAACGCACACCCCAGGAAACAAATACAGTAAATGTCGATAATAATAATCCTTGCATTTGATATAGCACCTTATCATGTCTTTGAGACGTTCCAAAGCTCTTCACAGAATACACTGTAAAGTGAATTGACTGTGCATTTTGTGGGACAAATGATAACTCATCACGCCAAGGCTAAAAGGGGCTCAGTCTCGAGTTATCCCGAAGGTCTTTGCACACTGGATAATCTCACCCAGCCAGCATAGACCTTTTGGCATTTACTCACCATCACCCTGTGTGTGACTTACTCCTTACTCACCAAATCCAAGAATGTCTCCTGTTGGGAAAATGGTTCACGGTCATTTTCAAATGGTCTTTGCGGTCCATGGCTTTGCCTCGCCTTCGTGACTCTGATCGGTCGCCCGGTCTTCACCGAGAGGGTCCCCCTCATTCAAGGGCTGCAATCCACCAAACTCACCAAAGCCATGTCTGCCCTCGGTTCAAAAGAAAAACTTGCCTACTCTCACTTCATTCTTGTGCTGCTCTGTGGAAATGAACCCGTGTGAGCTGGCTCGCTGGCTGACAAGAGTGGATTTGGTTCCTGGTTGACCTATTTCGCTGGAACTGATAAGTTAGTGACACATGCAGTCACTGGAATTTCTACAGAGATTAAAACGTAGTTGCCATATACGCCCTTTGAGAGACCTGCAAAGCATTCCTCTCTTAACTGCACCCAAACCAATTAACAAACAATCATTTCCTGTTGGTTTGGGAGAGGGAAATGACACCTGTATTTACTTACAACACCTTGACTCAAGTCTCAACCTTCAGCCTGTTAGCTTTAACCCCACTGTGAGAGGCACTTCAGGGATGGAAGAAAGAAACAAACAAGCGAAGGGGATTTTGACACTTTTTTTTGTAAATTAAAATCCAACCCAGCATTCCTCTCACAAACGAACGAGCCTAGTTTCAAAGGTTGAGACAGAATTGACGTCAAAGGCAATTTTTTTTTCCCCTTCAGGGTATTTTCTTCAAAAAAAAGGACAAAACAAAGTACTCGATTGTCACCAATGAATCAGTTGAATTCAGTTCACCCCAAGCTCTGGTTTATCAGATCCACTGCTACATGCAAGGTAGAAAGCAGAAACTCCTTAGCAAAAACTTTTCTTCAAACTTTTTTAAACCCTCAAAGTTCTGCAGTCTGTGTTTCCACTGATGGTCGAAACTCTCAGCATCAATCTCTTCAGCAAGTTCAGCAACAAACCAACACACTTTTTTTTCCCTCCCACAATAATGTTTTTAAAAGCAAAAAAAGAGTTCAACGTTTCCAGTAGGTCCTTCCACGGTATCAAGCCACATGGAATCCCATTGAAATGTGCTCTGTTTCCTCTCTCCCACACTTGCCTGAAAGCTTCCACTCCTCTGGACACTTCCAATAGACAAGAGGATCTGAATATTTCAGAGTCAGCTTTCTCGGGAGCCTCCTTCAGTGTGTGTGCATGAGCGAATGTTGCTCCTCAGATGAGCCTCAGACAGCCTGGGTGGGAACACTTGCTGCTGCTTCTTCGCAAACTCTGCCCGTTCAGTTACAAAAGTGTTGGAATTTAAGTGATAGAGTGACGGAAGGATGCAAGTGGGCAGAGAATCCACAACACTGGGGACTTTACAGTAAAGGACGCAGTGGCGTTTACAGCTCAGAGCCTTATAAGGGGGAGGAGAGACACGAGGGGTGAGTTCACTCGCTCCTGAAGCCCGCTTCTAAAGGAAACACTAGGAAGATCAACAACACAGCAGAACAAGCCGGCATTCTTTCCCTACCCTGCAGTCCCACTGTTAATAAATGCCTCTCCGGACAGACAAGTAAAACATGTACACACTGAGCGTCTGACGTATGTAAAACAGCATTGCATTAACCCCTTGCGATCCAGAACACCAAAGTGGTCTGAAAATAAGTTACTGAACAGCACACTTCAAGTAACCTTGTTTTTGTGTGTTCTGCATATGCCTCGAGTTTAGGAATTGCATGCACCCATGCACACTAGGATTAATTGTTTTTACCAGAACTGAAAAAAAGATCGTTAATATTTCTCTCGGCTTCCTTATTGCTGAACTGGCTGGTGCTTTCAAGTTCTCTGGGATGTTGCCCTGCCTAAGGAGCGCTATATAAATGTAAATTGTTGTTGTTTTATCCGTGGAGGCCTCCAAGATGTACACTGGTATGAAGAATTTTATATATAAATGCAAATTGTTGTTGTTGCATGCTTTCCGAGAAGTGATAGGTCTCATTTCCACGCAGTTTTACACATGGAAAATGCCATTTTATCTCAGTGATAATCTCAAATACTTTTGTTTTTTCCATGAGCAGTGGAAATTTGCAAAGCAGAACTGTACTGTTGTTTAACACGCTACCATTTAACCCATGAGCCCTGAACACCAAGCCTGGACTGATGGATTAAAAGCTGTACCATTCCAAGCTCTGTCCAAATTACAGACAGGATGATGCTAAAGTAACTGCTATTCGTGGCTTTCAACGTGGGAATGCCCATGACCTCTTGAAGCAGTAGAGGAAAGCGAACATCCTCATCAGCTTGATCGAAATCACAGCCCAGCCAAAATCAGTGCACTGTGGGCTGGGCAAAGCTATAAGAGCAAAGAAAATTACAGTAAGCCTCACGTGATTCGTATCAGTTAATATGACTTAAGCAAAGTAAGAGTTATTTCAAACTTGCATAGAATATAAACTCTTGAATGGACTTGGGCAGATGTATGACTTAGGTGATTATACGATTTATACAGATCAGGCTTATGCAAGGTTTAAATATAATTATTTTCTTTAATTAACAATCTGAATGTGAAAGATGAAAGTCAAAGAATTCACGATACCCTCAGAGGTTGAAAAGCGTAAGAGAGATTAGATAAATCAAGAAATAACCTACAATCTATAGGTTATAAGATCCAATAGATTGTAGAAAGATTGAGGGAAGTATACAGACAGTCCCACGGTCTTGAGATCCTGGCAAAGAAGGAGATAAATTACAGAAGGTTTCTCATCTTAGTTGGTTGTAGACTGGCCTCAGGGTCAGAAGGTTGAGGGTTCAAATCCCATGTCAAGACCTTGAGCTTGTTAGTCTAGGCTGATGGTCCAGTGCATTGCTGGGGGCAGTGCTGATTATCTGGAGGTGCTGAGCTTTGGTTACGATATTAAATTGGCTGCACATTTGCACGTTAAAAAAAACAAAAACAATCACTACACTTGGAATTACCTGTGAGGAGCACTGAGACATTGGGACGTGAGAAGCGTAATCTCAAATGTACAGCAGCAAAAGTATAATTAAGATGAATTTCAAATCAGTTCAGGATTAGGGTGACCAAGATCCCAGATAGATGGGGTTTGAGCCCACTGACATGTGTTCGTTATCCTAGCTACAATAGTACGAGGAGTGGAATAGAGGGCATGTACGTACGTACACGGAAGAGAAAAGAACAAGTCAAGGGAAACTCCTCACCAGTTGCCAATGCTTGCCTCACCTCCTGGGAACTGACTTAATCCCAGCAATTGTAAAGTTCTGAAGGCGAGGCCCTCTATTGAGAGTTGCTTACGTTAGAGACCTTAGAGAACATTCAAAGAATAATACACTCATTCAAAAAGCCTGCGCTTGGCACTGGAGTATAGAGCGAGTGGTGTCGGGTTGTAGCCTGGAGCAAGAAATCAATGACTAAAAAAAAAATGATTCATTGGAGTGCAAAGCTGACATTAAACATCACTACGTCAATCCATCAGGCTTCTTTTCTTATCGACGAATCCGCAAACAAATTGCCTCTCCGTCTTTCACAGTCGGCTGAGTGACACTGCCAAAGCAGTTGTGGAAGGAAGGACAAACAAAACATATAAACGAGGCCGGTTTAAGCAAAGCAGAACAATGAACCCTAGTAATTCGGGCAGCTGAGTCGTTGCGAGTGCTGTATTAATCAAAACGAAATTTGAGACCTGAAAATAGTATTAATAATAATCCTTGCATTTGATATAGTGCCTTATCATGAGGTTGAGACGTCTCAAAGCGCTTGACAGAATATACTGTAAAGTGGACTCTGTGTATATTTTGTGTCCTTCAATCCCTGTTGCACATCATCTGGGAAGCCTGTATTGGACACCTGAGGACCCTTAACCTTGTATCAGATCAATGCTGTAGCTGCCCAGCAGTGCTGGTTGGGTCAGTATAGAGGGACCTCTGCCTCGCTCTCTTTAAGATCTTATGTTAGATATGCCTGGGACCATCCTAATCCAATTCTTAGCAGGATATCTCCACAGCATCAAAATGCTCCCAACTAGGTAGTAAGTGACTAAGCCAATCACATCGATCACATCAGTGATGGAAATGGAAGTGGAATGATGTTATTTTTATCTCCAAATCATGTTTGTGATTTTATTCTGATGAGCTGCAGTTAATGTTAGAACAACACTAGTCCTGATCAACGAGTTTTTAGTAATCTTTGTTTAACATCAGCCAAGCTGAGGACTGGTAGAACCAGTCGGCATGCAGAGACTAGCTTACAGAGATGAGTTTACGCAGAGCTCCTTATTAACAGTGCATTTGAAGCAGAATAGTTTTAACGTCCCATAAATCGTTAACAGAAGGCTGAAAAGCTGCCTTCCCCAGTCTTCTGTGGAAGGTAACATTAAACCAGTCTCAATTATCTCGGGGAAGTTTCCTTCAACAACTCAGCAGAAACTGATATTAATTCATTTATTTTAGTTTCCATGACGTCCGGATGCAATTATGCAAATAAGTGCATTAAACCAATGAAACTTGAGTTTGTTCCCTTTGCCTAACCCGAGGGCTACCAACTATGTTCCACAAACAGTCTGACTCTCAGCTCCCAAAGACCTGATGTTCATTTTTAGACATTAAGACGAGTTTCCATCTCAGGACAACAGCTGCGTAAATCTCTCTGTACATTCCCACTATCCTTTTTCTCGTCTCCCACTCATCCCCCAAGCACTTTGTCCAGTCTCTGCTCTGTGATTGACAGGCTGTGAAGTGTGCTGGAATGTTACAGGTTGCTCTGCTCTGATTCTTAAACGCTCTGTGACCTTCTCCCGATATGAAAAGTGCTCTATTAAAATGCAAACTGTTAACTGATAGCTTAGACAAGATTGGAAAAATACGAATTTGCAACGTGAAAGAAGACCAAGGTCCATCCAGTTCGCCTGCCACCATCCTGACATGCAGTGTCCCAAAGTATATATTGTGGCCCGAGATATTATTTCCTAACAGAAATCTATCTAATTTGTTCTTGAAAGAATCAACATGTTCTGCTTCCACCCTAGGGAGGTTGTTCCATAGGTAATAATAAAATATAACAATAAAATATAATAATATGTAATATATACCCACAGGAATATTGTTCCAAATCCCTGAGTGTCAGCACCTTGGGACGTCCTCCTAATGTGAAAGGTGTTACACAAATGTAATTTTGTATTGTATTGTAGGGAAAGATGGAAGAGGGGAGCACATTTAAAAAGACAGAAAATGTATGGGAATTTATGAATGGGAAAGGATTGAAAGCCACAGATATATTTACATCCACCTCTCAAATGAACATCCGGCCAGAGTAAACCAGTGGGTTATTTTTCCAATTCCGATTTGATCCTTTCAAGTCGTGCCAAGGATACAGAGCTGCCTGGAGTGTAACTCACATCAGTGGCAAAAGCATTGCATCTAAAACCACTCCAACCATCTCCATCCACACTGACCAGATGAAAGGCTCCTCTCTCTTCTGGGTGCACTGACTTGAGTTTTGGGCTAGTCTCAAGCTAGTTCTCTGTGGATATACAGAACGTTCATTGT